TAGGCGATTTTATATGGTTTTATGTGGTTTTAGGCGGTCTTAGGCGGTAAAAAATTGGAAAACCGCCTAGAGCCGCCGCCTAGCACCTAGTTGGGGTGGTCACTCATTGTCTAGCGGCTAGGCGGCCGACTAGATAGACGAGTTTTTGAGCAGGAATAAAAGTATGAAATCGTTCGCTGCGTAAGTAATCTAACAAAAATAAAGTATATTCTATCAATATAATCAATTAATATCTTAAAGTTGTAGTCAATAATTCATTATGTTCAAAGACAATCGAAATCTCCGCAATTTCTATTTTAGTCACTAAACTGTACTCATAGTTATAGATAGTATCAACGACACTATGGTCTAATAGTTATACTGTTAGAATATCAGGACTTTCTCGGTTCAGACAGATCACTTTCACACGTAACACATGCAAATGACAAGTTTGATTCCCTGACGTCATGCAGAGGGAGTGGAGAAGCTAAATATATATTTTCATGTATTTTAGTTTAATTACTAGAGAAAAGTGAACATCTGGTAAATCTAACTTTATAATAGATCTCCAAGAAAAAAAGGAAAATGAAGCCAACATATAAGTAATTGACCAAAAAAACCATTTACAAGTTAAAAAAACAAAAACTGGAAACAACAATTACATTTCAACATTTGACATTGGTATTCAGTCTTCTTCATAAACATAGACATAGAGATTTTGATTAAACATTTATTATGTTTGACCACTGACCAGCAATAAGTTGACATGTGGAGCTGACGATGAGCCGACACGACGCTAACTAGGCGCCACACTAGACATGGTTATTCTAGTCAATACCACGTCACCCTCTCCTTTATAGAAAAAATATAATCCATGCCACCTTTCTTTTCCATTGGTTTACTTCCTTTTCATTGGTTTCAGATGTTTTTTTATTATTCATATAACATTTTTTTGTTTGTATAGAACTCATTATTGTCTGTTTTGTCATAGACTCATAGGTATAATATACAGTCACATGTCCCAGTGTAATACCTATAAGACATGTGACTTTTATCTTTTGAAACCCAAAATTCAAAAAGTAAATAGAATTTTCTATCCGTTGATCCCACAAATGCAAAATATCCGTATATTAATGAGTAGCTAAGTCATTCAAAATTAGTCTATCCACAGCCACATGACTTATAACATAAGAAAGTATTATAGTAATGAAAACGAGCTCTAAATGCACAAAATCTCTGAATATCCATCTACCAACATAGAAATTTAAATATTAGAATTGCTGATTGTGCAGATCTCAGTCCTATAAAACAAAAATAAAATCAAAGCTTTGTAACATTATCCACAAGACTTCTGTTGTATGGATTACGGGTCAAATTTCGTCTAACGTATACCAACTAACCTGATCCATATAATGAACTATCATTAATTCGTTAGATATACTATAAAACTGTGAAAGGAGCGTCACTCTGTATCAATATGAATAGGATAATCCAAAACTCCGAAACAAACGCAAGTGCAACGTTTGACCAGACATAAGAGATATGACACGTGGCGCACAATGGGACACAGTGATGTGTTTGGTGTATGACAGACTCACCGATCCACTCAGAAGGTCTCACATTCGTGCCTCGTGGGTTGCGATGTCATGTCCCTAAATATAATAATAAGGAATTATTAAAGAAATGGACGAGAAAAAAACCTCTGAGAAATGAATATCGATCGTACGTGATTACAACTTACAAGTGTTCGATCGATGTGTTGTTTTGGTCCCATATTACTCTACCTTAAGCAGGTGTGATAACTAATTATGGGTCACTCTTATAACTGCATATTGATTGAAACTCCATGGATATTCTAGAAAAAAATAGAAATAAAGTAGGTTCTAACCATTACTCAACAACATATACTCAAAGTGTATGCATTAAATAATATCGGACATTACTAGAAACATACTAGTATATATATCATAATTATATTCTAAAATCCAACCGGACATTACAAAAACTAATGTCTCATGCATGTTTGTAGATATTTAGTAGGATTTAACTTTGATTGTGTCAAATAGTTGAAATGGTCATAATTTTTGTTGTCATGCTTTTAATTTTCTTGCATTCGGTCTGCTCAGCAGATTTGGATACTTATAATAATAATTGTCAGAATAATCAATTCCATGTTAACAGAAACTCATTGGGCAGTAGAAGATAGGATCAGTAAAGTGTGCATATGCATGTATGAATGTTAGTTGGTAGTTATAAGTTTGGTGGGTTTCTTGAAAGTTAAACTATTAAAGATTACTCCTTTGACCTTTTCTTTAATTTTCTGATTTTACATTTTTTTTTTCTAGTTAAAGTTGCCTCCTCTTTCCAATTTAATTTCTAACATTTCCATTTACTTTTGTCTCCAGCCTTTCGGCAAGGATAAAAAGCACACATTCTTCTTCTTTAAATAAGCAAGAGCTAAAAACAATGTTGACAAAGAACAGCACTAAAATCAGGTAACTCATAAACTATTTTTTTTTCATTTTTGATTCATATACTGCAGAGAGCGACGAATGTATGAGGTATGGAGATCCCATTCGATATCATATTGATTGATTTTTAGAAAGACGAAAGAACATGCATTGGGAAGATGTTGTGCTTTATCTAAAACTTAAACCAAGTAAAATCGAACTGACAAAAAAAAACATATTGAATTAAACAAGATTTGTCTCATTTTAATTCAAACATTTTCACAAACTACAAGTTTGGAATTTCAAATTTTTATCCAAATTGATCTAAAACTCAAATGGTTCATTCTTAAAAAAAAAGTTATACATTATTCATAATTTGTTTAAATTTTATAGCCTAATGTTTTGTATTAATGGTGTCATATATATCATGATTTATATTATAATTTGGTAGTGTGTATGTATGAATTTTAGACAGAAAAAGTTTAGAAAGATAAAATTTGGGCTCCGTACGTGATGATGGGTTTGATTTTGGATTTGATAATTTATTTGTTTATAGAAACAGTTAATATACCGTAGAGTAAAGAGTAAAGACATGGTAACGGTCGTTATACGATTCGAATGATTATGGTCATGAATGATTAACTAATGCGAGGATTCACTTTAGAATAGTTTATATAGTTGATGTTAATTTTCATACAAGCGTTAAAAGTCCGGTGACCAATAATTTTGTAATCTGATTTCTTGATTTATAGTCTGATTTTGACTGCAGTTTTATTTGAATTGGGATATCACTTACTTACATTTGGCTATTACAATACTAGTATATTCCATATAGAGAGCTAAAAGAGCTCAAACCGGTGGAGGGGTTCCTACTTCCTGGCTTGGGCCAAACGGAAAACGTAAAAATGCGAACAAGTCGTTGTAGATTTCCACGTTTAGACGGACAGAGATCAAACCGGTGGGTCCGGTACCACCATAGCTGGATCTCTAACGCATGTGATCACAAAAAATCTTGCTGCAGTAAAAAAAAAAAAAGACTCAATTCGAGGTCACAAATAAAGTTTCTGCTTATATTTAACGGATATCCAAAATTTGGACTAATATATTCATAAAGCGAAGGCCTGACTCAACCGGTTTCACCAAGTTTTATGTTTGATCGAAAACGTTTACCAAAAATAAAATGAATTGTTTATGTATATCTATGTATGATGAACAAACTACACATTAACCTAACCGAAGTAAACGAGACTATTAAAATTAAAGGTTTTTGAACTATCCTAAAAACATTTATTTTCGTAAAAATGAATCCAAAACAGAAGTCGAAAATTGATTGTCCTTAGATTTTTATATTCTCTTAAACCTAATTTCAAAAATTATTTAAATCCAAACCAAAATTGAACGGAAAACCGGAGTGGGATATCTTCACTCTAAAATTAAAAGTTTTATTATATATCGTAATAAAAAGCACTGATCTATCTCAATTGCACTGAAAAAAAGATCGAAAAAGAAAGGTAAATTTAGTGATTAGTGGGAGAAGAAAATAGTGTTTAGTTAATACCGTTATAGTGGTCCATCAGTCCATCTGATTGGTCACAGTGGTTTAGACAGGCCAATAACTCATGTTCCCAAAACCTTTCAAGATTTTACATCAAATAGACGAAATCGAGCACATAAAATATCAACTAATCAATGTTATTCTTATTGCTTAACTCATCTATTTTATGTGGAATTAACTAACAATTGTTTGAAAGGATTGTACAAATATTAAATCTACTTATATGCAACGATTAATCAACTTATATAATTTCATTACACATCTATCGTATTGTAAATAGAACAACGTGGAGGAGATCAAGTGAATGGTAGTTTAGTGGTTTTGAAAGTGACTACTCAAGGTCATTGTTGGTTAAATTCCAATTAAAAGGGATGAATTATACTTTAGATACAGTATTACTGATGAAAAGTCTAAAACTACCATAGTTTATCCAAACAAAAATTGGATTAAGAACCGTCATCTTTTTAAATTTTCTGTGCTAATAAAAGTTTTAGCTTCACATATATTTACGAATTTGACACATTATATAATTTATGAAGTGATAAGTTCATGTGTATATGGTTTTTATTAATTTATTTTTTGTATACTTATTTAGATTTATTTTGTTCATTTTAATCATGTTGTTTTGATTTTTACCATGTAAAATATATAGTTTTTGATGTCTTCTTATAAAAATTATATACATTGTGTTTGGTTTGTTATGTTTTTTTTTTCAATCGTTATCACACATCTATTTGTCAACCAATAAAAAACGTCCGGGAACAGAACTATACATTTGTTGGAAAACAAAAACACTGTATCACATATGGAGTAGTGTTCTTTCTAAAGATTTCGGGGGGTGTGTGAGGGGTAATATAACAATACGTTATAGAAAATGAAATAACTGCGGAATATTTTGTCGTATCCGAAAATATACGTATATAGAAAGAGCAAATACATATTTTATTTTTATATTATTAATTAAAAATAAAAATTTAGGTGGAGGGTTTACATTGGGGTTTTTGAGAGAGAGAGAGAGAGGCGCTCGCTGCTATTTGCTACTGTTTCTCTCTTCCTTTATAAAACGGCTTCCGTCGTCAATGGCGTGAACCCAAAACCTCCTCACTCTCTCTTTCTCTCTCTCCTCTTCTTCCTTCTCCGTCATTTTCACGTTTTTCTCGCCGTCCTTTATCCTTATCCGATAGACCCATAAAAACCCAGGAAACAAATAAACAATAAAAACCAATTTTTGTTCTATTGAATTGAAGAGATCGAAAAATCCAGAACCCGCCGGTTACGCTCAGGTCTCTCTTTCACTCACTTAATCTCTCTGGTTCCCAGTCTTTTTTCTGCATCCTGGGTTTTTGTTACAGAAGAAAATGCAAGAGCTTTTTGCTCCAAAATCCTTCCTTTTTTGAATATCTGATTTTTTTTTTTCCTTCATTTTGGTCATTCTCTGCGTTCTGCTTCTGCGATTGACTTGTTTTGCTTGGATAAATGAGATTTAAATCTAGAAAAATCCAAACTTTCTCTTGATACTCTCTTGTAACACACTTGCTTCTGCTTCTAGATTGTTGACTACGCAAGAAAGATAATAAAGTCAATAAACTTCTGCGATTCTCTTCTTGACTGACTTTGGTTTCTCTTTTGGTTGTTGATTACTGTGCAGGAGACTCGATTAAAAAAAAAAAGAAATCAGAAGGAAGAAGATGAAGTACGTGCTTGTGACAGGAGGTGTTGTGAGTGGATTAGGCAAAGGAGTAACAGCAAGTAGTATCGGTGTTCTTCTTAAAGCTTGTGGTCTTCGAGTTACTTCAATCAAAATCGGTAAATTTCTCATTTGTTACTCTTTATCTTGTCTCTCTGGTCAAAGTCAAATGATGTTTTGCTTACGTGGATCACTCAATCTCCAGATCCTTATCTAAACACGGATGCTGGAACCATGTCTCCGTTTGAGCACGGTGAAGTGTTTGTCTTGGACGATGGTGGTGAGGTAAATAAAAGTGACCTTTTGTCAACTTTTTCAAAAAAACTTGAACTTTTTAACAACTTTTGTATCTTTTTTTTTTTTTTTTGGTGTGATGTGATTCTGGGAAAAAGGTGGATCTTGATCTTGGAAACTACGAGAGGTTTTTAGATATTAAATTAACCAGAGACAATAACATCACCACCGGAAAAATTTACCAGGTTAAGGATCTAGATCTCAACTAATTGGAGGTTGATTGTTGAGTAAGGTTTACTAAATCTTCGTCTTTGTCACAGCATGTAATTGCTAAAGAAAGGAAAGGAGATTATTTGGGAAAGACTGTTCAGGTAATAATTAAGCTTTTTTCACCTATCTCTTTTCTCATTTCATGTTTTGATGTTGGTTTCTTGCAGCACTTAAAAGTGTTTTGGTTGTAATGATTTAGGTTGTTCCTCATGTTACTGATGCAATTCAAGAGTGGATAGAGAGAGTTGCAGTTATTCCTGTTGATGGAGAAGAGGGCCCTGCTGATGTTTGCGTTATCGAATTAGGAGGAACTATAGGTTACACAGAAAATTCAACAAAATTGGATTCTATTTTTGGTTGTCATCTTTGCTTCTTCTGTGTAAACAGGGATTCTTTTTGTTTGCAGGTGACATTGAATCTGCGCCATTTATTGAGGCGCTTGGCCAATTCTCCTACCGTGTAGGTAAGAATCATTTTTCTAATACCATTTGAATCCAAAAGCAAAGAAAATCTGTTTGGGAAGTTTTTGGATATGATGAACTTAACTACTGTATCTTTGGTTGGTGGTTGAGTTCAGGCCCAGGGAATTTCTGTCTGGTCCACGTCAGCCTCGTGCCTGTGCTTAATGTTGTTGGTGAACAGGTAGATTAATTTTCCTGAAATGATTCAGCCATGATGAGACAGCATTTGATCTATATGTCTGCATTAACTTCATTTGCTTTGTTATGTTCTTTCAGAAAACAAAGCCAACACAGCATAGTGTCCGGGGGCTACGAGGCTTGGGCTTGATACCGGATATCTTAGCTTGTCGGAGCACAAAGGTTTGGTTTTGCTTGCGTCTCCATTTGTTTCGTCTAGAATTTACAGTCTCTTGGTGTGTTATCTTCTTGATCTGATGTTAGAGTCTTCAACTAATTTTATTCATTTAGGTACTTGAAGAGAATGTGAAAGAAAAGCTAGCTCAATTTTGCCATGTCCCGGTAAGATGCTGCCTTTTGTCTCTCGTTGTTACAATTTATTTACTATAAATCTCGGTTACTTATTAGCATATGGTACATGTTTCAGCTTGAGTATATCTTCACTCTCTATGACGTTCCCAACATTTGGCACATTCCTCTGCTGCTTAAGGTACCTATTTCTCAACTAAGTATATTCGTAATTACTACGCCAGTTATTATAAATCATCAAGAAAACAATGCTCATGCGCATACTCCCTCGAACAGGAACAGAAGGCTCACTTGGCAATCTCTAAAGTGCTCAATCTTGCTAGGTATGTATTATGTAACTTTTTTTGTCCTTTGTATTCTTGGTATGTGGTGGGTTGATGTACAACTCAAATGGATTAGAAGTGATCTGTGTTATTTCTGAAAACAGTCTTGTTAAAGAACCTTCTCTAGACGAATGGATTTCCAGAGCCGAATTGTGTGACAACTTACATGTGCCGGTGGGTCTCAGCTTTTAATAACTCCTTATAAACTGTAACCTCAATGTCTCTTTCTTAACGCACCAAATCAATTTACAGGTTAGAATCGCTGTTGTGGGGAAATATACAGGCCTCTCTGATGCCTATCTCTCTGTCTTGAAGGTAGAACTTGCACATCACCTCATGAGGATGGTGTCTAGTATTAGATTTCCTTGCCTCGGTTTCTCACATTTGGATAACTTGTATAGGCTCTCTTACATGCTTCTGTTGCTTGTCGGAAAAAGCTCGTAGTTGATTGGGTTCCAGCCTGTGATCTCGAAAAGGAAACTGAGAAAGAGGTCCGTAAAGTGGAACTTTACATGTTAATTACTTATTTATGTCTTTACTTGTTCACAAGTTTCTAACTAGAATGATCTTTTTATTTTTTCGTTTAAGCAGAATCCAGATGCATATAAAGCTGCTTGGAAGTTGCTGAAGGTTTGAAATGTTTGTCATTTTACAACTTCAATCATCGAGACGCCTTGTGTTTTCTCTCATCTCTGTTAGAATCTTCAGGGCGTAGATGGGATCCTTGTACCTGGAGGTTTTGGTGATAGAGGAGTGGAAGGAAAGATTCTTGCTGCAAAATATGCACGTGAAAACAAGATCCCTTTCCTCGGTATTTGTCTTGGGATGCAGGTCGCTGTCATCGAGTATGCACGATCAGTTCTCTGCTTGCACGACGCAAACAGCACAGAATTCAAACCTGACACTAAACATCCATGCATCGTATTTATGCCTGAGGTTCTTAGATTCTTCCTCTCTTTACCTGGAATGTAGCTTCATTACTTTCTTCCTTGCTTAGACCTCACTTTATTTTCTTGCTCGGTGAGTGTAGGGTTCAAGAACTCATATGGGAGGCACTATGCGCCTAGGATCAAGAAAATCCATCTTCAATGTCAAAGACAGCAAATCCTCAAAACTGTAAGAACCATTGATATACAGTTTACTCCATGTGTTCTGTGAATGCTATAGTCTCACTTAGCATGATTCTGCCAATTCGGTTTTTACAGATATGGGAACAAAAACTTTGTCGATGAGAGGCATCGCCATAGATACGAGGTATAGATTGGTATACAAATTCTTGAATAGCCATCACTATCAAATGAAATTTTTTTTGATATGTATGTACACAACTATTGCAGGTGAATCCTGATATGGTTGAACGGCTAGAGAAGGCCGGTCTCTCATTTGCTGCAAAAGACGAAACTGGCAAACGCATGGAGGTCTGTTCAAATCTTTAAACGATCTATCTGTCTCTATTTCAAATCCATTTGCTGCAAACTCAAAGTCCTTACTAATCTTGTATTGAAACTGCAGATTGTTGAACTTCCAAGCCATCCTTTCTTCATCGGTGCTCAATTCCACCCTGAGTACAAATCCAGACCCGGGAAAGCTTCTCCTCTGTTCTTAGGTACGAACCAATTTCGCCATCAGTCAAAAAAGATCCAAACTTTACATCTCTCTGTTCTCTTGCATCAACACAAGTGTTCTAAGCAATCTTTGCTTCTTCTTTATATTGCAGGACTCATCGCAGCATCGTCTGGTGAGCTGGACACAGTCCTGAATCCAGCCTCTGCTCATCAACATCTGACTAGTAACGGTCCAAAAAACGTTTTCGCCAATGGAACCTCCAAGAAATCTCCCAATGGCTTGGCTGATGTAAGATATAATAACGGATACTGCAATGGCTTATACTCTAGATAGCTTCGGTTGCAGACTCTCCCCTTTTCTCTCCATTAGAATTGCTTCATTTTCGATTTAGTTTGGGATTTGATTTGCCTTTTTTTTTGGTTTTTAATGATAAACTTAGGATCTTTCCTCTGTGCATATGATTCAAGCTTTTGTCAGGTTTTTAGGCTCTTTTAAACAGAATCTATGTTCTGTTAAGACTCTAGAAACATCTGATAATTGCGGTTGATTACCCGTCTTTTGTTTTTTCCATGAAACGGGATGTCATATGATCATATGTACCGTTGGAACATTTTGTATCTCGATTTGGTCTGCATGTGAAAGAAGCATCTGATAAATAAAAGTTAAAAAAAAGACTTTGTTCTTCTTTCTTACTCAAACTATACTTTCTGAGGATGTTTGCATGGAAAATGGAAACGGGTATGCAAAAGCTAAATGCTTTCTAAAATCGAAGTGACTTTTTGAATAATATCTAATACGTGAAAATGTTTTGGGGGTATATAATAGAACGTTTAATCAACATATATTATTCAATACGTGAAGTTCGAAACACTTAAAGTCACGAAATGAAAACTAAAGAGGGGAAAATGACGTTAATAGTAAATTTTGTAAAGTTATGATTTGAATGCATGTTGAAATTGATATACAGTATATGACTGGAAATAAGTTACATGAAATCAAATAAATAGAATTGGAAAGATATGTGTGTTAAAATAGCATGTTTTGACAAAATAAGCCGTTATAAATGGAATTGTATCAACTATAAAGTTATAATGAAAAGACATGACCTTAGAATCAGTTATTGGTTTTTTTTTATGTAGAATTGTTATTATTAATAGATATATGAGAAATTTGCAAAAAATTGATAAGAATTTCTGCTTACCAAAAAAAACATAAGCGGTTATAAATAGAATTGCAAAGATATGTGTGTTAAAAATGCAATTTTTAATGAAAGAAGCGGTTATAAACCAAAAATTTATATTGAAGGAGCACACATTTTGAAATTAGTATTCATGATTGAAAAGAAGTTATATGAAACCAAATAAATAGAATGAAAAAACATTTGTGTGAAAAGATGCAACTTTTGCAAAGTAAGCAGTTATAAATGAAATGTATCAACAAAATGTTATAATGAAAAGACAACAGTAGCATCAGTTATTGAATTTTTTTTTTTTTGAACGTCTATTGTATTTATAAAGACATGGATACAAAGTCATTGTGTAAAGCATTAGAAATTACATTTGGGACATAATGATAAACATGGAACAGAGAATCTCCTGGAATTGGTGTCTTTGATTGATAAGATGTCTGCCGGTTGGTTTAATGATCGTTGATTCCAATTAAACTCCACTTCTTGAAATCTTGATTTCCAGTGCCAAATATCTCTGAGCCAGTTAAGAACACTGAAGTTTAGAGTTTCTTTATTCACCAACGATATTACTTCCTTACAGTCACCTTCAAAGACAATTCTGCGGTAACCTTTGCTCCAGCACGATTGCATTGAGATTAAAAGAGCTTGCAATTCTGCTTCAAGTGGGCTTGAGGCATAATCTCCTCTAGATTGCCCTGCGCAAATGTAGAAACCTGTTTCATCTCTTATTATCCAGCCCGCCTATGAGGAGCGATTATGTCTAACATATGAGCCATCATAGTTACATTTCAAGAAGCCTTCCTTGGGTTTATTCCAGCATTTGGGTCTTGACTGGAGCTGATTTGTTTGAGAAGGGTTGCTTCTCTGCAGAGAATCTGTTATGAAATCCTGTGCGTCTAGCCATTCTTTTGCATCCTCTCTAGCTTCCCTTAAAGTTTGTTGCCAGTTGATATGTCGCCGTTGATAAAGTAACAGGTTTCTGCTCTTCCAAATTCTCCAGAGTATCCAAAGGGCGCTCTGATGAATATATCTGGGTATTTGATGATGACTGGTAAATATTGCTTGCAGCTTTTCACTCAAAGTAGCTTGGGTATTGAAGACAATGGGATTTGGGAAGTTGGATGCTCTCCATATTGATTGAGTATAAGTGCAGTCGAATAATAGGTGATTTGATGTCTCTTCTGTCAATAAGCATCTGGGGCACAAGTTCATTCTAGACATATGACGATGCAACATAACTTCACCTGTAGCTAAACTTTTGGAAACTAATCTCCATAGGAAGTGTTTGATTTTGGAAGCTGTTTTAAGTTTCCAGATTGAGTTTTTCAGCAGGATGGAACCTGGAGGAGGATTAATGTGCTGTTGTTCCGGTTGATGAGTCGTGAGCCAATAGCCTGATTTCACTGTGTAGACTTCATCTTTTGTGTAATGCCATCCCAAGAAATCCTCAGCCGGTCTAGAACTTAGTCGTAATGATAAGATTATTTCTGCATCCACATCGACAATCAAATCTCGAATTCTTTGTTCATCCCATCTATTATTTGCAGTGATTAGGGAGTTAACTAAACAATGTTCTGGCTGTTGTTGGCGAGCTCTCGGTGGTCTTGGAATATGGACTGGCAACCATGGATCAATCCAAGTACTAACATTGGAACCATTTCCAATAACAAAGATCATTCCAGACTTTAGTAGATCTCGTCCTAACAAGAGAGACTTCCATGCATATGAACTATGTTTCGCTACTTTCGCTGTTAAGATATTGCTATCCTTGAAGTATCGTCCTTTGATAATCCTTGCCATTAGGCTATTTGGGAAGCGTAATAGTCTCCAAACTTGTTTAGCCAGTAAGGCGTTGTTGAAATTCTCAATATCCCGGAAACCCATTCCTCCTTCTTTCTTTGGTAGACTCAATCTGTTCCAAGCAAACCAATGCATACCCTTCTTTTCATCACCTGATCCCCACCAAAACCGCGCCAGGCAACTATTAATATTTTCACATACCGTTTTTGGTAACTTGAAAATATTCATAGCATAAATTGGCATGGCTGTTGCAACAGATTTGAGTAACACCTCTTTCCCTCCTGGTGATAGAAATTGTTTGTGCCATCCTTGTGTTTTTTCTTTGACCTTGTCAGTGATATAGCTGAACATTTCTGTTTTCTTGCTACTAAACTGTTCTGGAAGGCCTAAATACTTTCCCCCTCCTCCATCATTGTGTATTCCTAAAAGGTTTCTCATCTGAGTTTTCACTCTATCCTGAACTCTGCTCCCAAAAGTAATAGCAGATTTCCTCAAGTTAACCGATTGACCTGAGGCAGACTCATACAGGGAGAGAATCCTTTTGATGGTCCTTCCATCATTATCCAGTTGATCCATTTGCTATGAAATCCCATTCTCTTCATTGTCTCCTCTAAGAAGTTCCACTCCAGGCGATCATAGGCTTTTGTAATGTCTGTCTTAAGGGCCATATATGATTTGGATTGTCTTTTACGAACCTTGAGAGCATGAAACATTTCATGAGCAATAATTGCATTATCTGTAATCATTCTGCCGGGTATAAAGGCTGCTTGATTTTCTGCAATGATTCCAGACAGATGCCTCTTCAATCGGTTAACCAAGATCTTGGAGATAATCTTGTAACTGACATTACATAAAGCTATTGGTCTGAAGTCAACCATCGAAGAGGGGTTAGTGATTTTGGGGATCAAACAGAGATTGGTATGGTTGTGCCGTTGATCAAGGAAGCTGTGGTCAAAAAATGATCTTATCTCTTCAACCATTTCAGTACCAATATCTGACCAGAACTTGTGATAAAAGGCTCCTGAAAAGCCATCTGGCCCAGGTGTTTTGTGCGGACCTATAGAAAAAACAGCCTCCTGTATCTCATCAGTAAATAATGGTTTTGTAAGATCATGATTCATTTCATCTGTAATCCTTTTCTGAAATCCACTGAAGACTTCATTGATATCAGCTTGGTTTGTACTCTGAGAGGTGAATAGAGAGGTGAAATAATTTTCAGCTACCTTGGCCACATTGTCATCTCCTCGGTGAACTTGATCATTCTCGTCTAATATGGAGAGCAATCTGTTTTTTATTCTCCTTGTCTTTGTTACTGAGTGATAAAACTTTGTGTTCCGATCACCTTCAGATAACCAAACATTCCGACTTTTTCTCTTCCAATATATCTCTTCTTCTAAGTACGCTCGATTCAGCTCAGCTTTAAGGTGCTTTCGATGAGTTGCATTAGCAGAACCAGAAGAGATAGCCTTGTCAAGTTGATAGCAAGCCAAGGTGATTCTATCTCTGGCAGTGACATAGTTCTTCTGTTTCCATCGGGAGATATATTTGCGGCAGTTAACTAATCGGTTGAATATGTTTGGAGAAGATTGTTGTTGTTTTTCCCACCCTTGGAGGACTGCCTCACGAAAGCCTTCTTTTTGTATCATTCTATCATCAATTATAAATCGAGCACGTCTTTGTTCTGGTATCTCTTCAATGTAAGTGATGAGGGATCTATGATCTGATTCACCAAATTCTAGAAAATGTGTTTCAGCAGCTGAAAACCGTAAATGCCACTCAGAGTTTCCCATTGTGCGATCTAGACAGCATAAAACGAAATGATCTCCTCTTTGGCCCGCCCACGAGAATCTATTACCGATTGTTTTCAGGTCTGTAAGAGCACAACTGCGAGTCATACGTCTGAAATCATGGAAAGTGTATTCTGGTCGAACTCGACCTCCTTGTTTTTCTTCATTTCCGAGTATTTCGTTAAAATCTCCCATAAGCAACCAAGGATCTTTTCTATTAATAGATATTCTTTCCAATCTCTCCCATAGATCATTACGAAAACTAGGATCTGGATGACCATATATGAAAGATAAATAAAATCCAAATCCATTCATTTTAACGAAACAATATACAAGGTTTTGAGATTGGAAATAAATTGATAGATCAACAGATTGCTTCCAATACATTACTAAACCACCACTTAGCCCTATTGCAGGAACAACTACAGAATTAGGAAAACCCATTTCACGTCCTAAGTTCTTCAGATAATCAGCTTGTTGCTTGGTCTCGGAAAGGCAGATTATGTCCAGGAGATACTTCCGATTTATCTCTTTAACTCGTCGAACTGTCGAGTCTTTGCCCATACCTCGACAGTTCCAACAAGCTGCTCTCATGGAGGAAGTGGTGGTTCAGGGCCCACCGCGCCTCTTACGGTCAAGTTAGCAGTGGATGATTCTCCAACACTGGAATTGCCAGCTTCTCTTACATGTGCCTTCCGGGATTCCAGGTCTTCCAAACTGTTGAACTTTCTCTTACGGGCTTGGTTCATCATAGAAACTTCTGGTTCTGAAATAAGTTGATCCACACTCGGATCTGCAACAGCAAAAGCATCGAAATTTGTATCAATGCCTTCATTCTCATGTGTTGATATGTCTTCCACTTGATTTGTTTCCATGATGTTGTTCGGAATCTCTTCACCCTCCATCATGCGGTCTTCTTCATCTTCTGATTCCCTTATGCCTTCCTGCAAAATGTTTTCTTCTTCGTCAGGGTCCTCATTTGGTTCATAGCCATTTGGAACTTGGTGCTCATCCCGATCCTGCTGGTCTTCCCCCATATCGTTTTCATCTAGCTCTCTGATTTGGACTCCCTGATGTCTTCTCAGTGGTTCTTCATGTCCGTCATCATCATCATCATTGTCATCATCGGAGATATCCAGAACACCTCCATTGTTAATCAAACAATTACCCGAATCGTGAGTTATCATCCCACAAACCTCACAAAAGCCCCTCAGTCTTTCATATCGGAATCGGAGGAGAGTATTCACTCCCTGGGAAAATTGAAAGTGGCGCTGAAATCTCAGGGGACGAGTGATATCCCAATTCACACAGACTCGAGCGTACTCTCTTCTTGCAACTGCTTCACGGTTGTAATCAACATCCCAAAGGATCTTCCAATGTGTGCGATTACATCTTGAGTCATGAATTGGAATGGAATACCACGAATTTGGATCCAAAAGGGGATAAAATCCAAACTCGCAATGTCTATAAGAGGCGCCCAACGTTGCAAGACAAGCATTCGATCAGCAAATGCCCAGCGACCCTTCCTTAGGACATTTTCCATCGTTTCTTCAGAGGGGAAAATGAATTGAAATCGATTACCTTCGATAATTCTGCCAAATATCAATCCTTCGAGGCTCCAGATTCTCGGCATGTTTGCAATTATCGAACGCAGATTTTGACGACGAGGAATGGTTGCATGTCCCCAGATGACAAATCTGTTATCATACGCTGCTTGGTGGAGAACATCAGCGGGTAGGGCAAATGGTTCATCTTCTACACCCAAGTCGAGATCTTGGATCGCTCTCCTTAAGTTATCAGCCATTTTTTGTAGTAACAGATAGAAACGGAAAGGAAAATGGATGTTTGTCGGAAGTTGTAGTAGAAGTTGTGTTGAAATCCATTCTCAAATCCTTGATTTATACTCTGTAGACACCACCAAAATAGATGGGAAATGCGCCTCACTTGAGATCGTGTAATCAAAAGTGGATAAAACCGTCGCCTGACAAAGAAGTGGGGAGATAGTTCCTATCTTGTCGACGGGAATCAAAGTAGCCACCACCGGAATGGTTGAAAGAAGTCGGAAAAGAAACCGTAAGAAAATCTCTTGAAAAGTCGCCATTCTCTTTGTTAAAAGAAACATTTTTTTATGTCATTGTCCTTTTAATTAAGTGATTTCATTATTGAATTTTTTTTTTGTTGGAATTGTTATTATTAATAGATAAATAGAAAATTTTCAAAAATAGATAAAAATTTCTTTTTGCCGAAAAAACATAAACGGTTATAAATAGAATTGGAAAGATATATGTGTTGAAAATGAAAATTTAAATGAAATAAGCTGTTACAAACAAAAATGTGTAAACCAAAAATTTATTTTTAAAAAGCACATAATTTGAAAATTAATATTCATGACTAAAAGAAGTTAAATAAAACCAACAAGATAGAATGAAAAGACATTTGTGTGAGAAGATGCAACTTTCAACAAGCAGTTATAAATAAAAATATATCAACAAAAAGTTATAATGAACAAACACAACAATAGAGTCAATTATTGGTTTTTTTTAGTTGAAATTGTTATTATTAATAGATATATATATGGGAAATCTAAAAAATAAATAAAAATTTCTTCTTGCCGAAAAAACATAAGCGGTTATAAATAGAATTGGAAAGATACATGTGTTAAAATGCAAATTTCAGTGAAATAAGCGGTTATAACCAGATATAATTATAAACAAAAATGTGTAAACAAAAAAATTAGTTTAAAAAGCACACATTTTAAAATCAATATTCATGACTAAAAGAAGTTATATAACCAGATAAATAGAATGAAAAGACATTTGTGTGTGTGAAAAGATGCAACTTTTAACAAAATAAGCAGTTATAAATAGAAATGTATCAACCAAAAAGTTATAATAAAAAGACACAACCGTAGTATCAATTATTGGAGTTTTTTGTTTATTTTCTTCTGAATTAGAATTGTTACTATTAATAGATATATGGGAATTTACAAAAATAAATAATAATTTCTCCTTACCGAAAAACATAAGAACTTCTCTTTGACAAAAAAACAAATTTTTTTTTCAAATTAATGTATTGAAAATTTTCAATGAAATAGTTCTCATAATTTTTAATAAAATAACATATTAGTGTGAAAAAATGTATTTAAATTTATTTCCTATAAAAGTACAAATGAAGAGTTGCTTTTAAAATATTTACGTTCGTGACTGTTGGTGGTTAATAAAAAAGGAAGACTCTTTGCTTTAACTCATAATCCCTTATTCATATCAAAACCCATTTCTCATCAAGGTAGAGAATCCTTTGATCTTCCCTTCAAGGTCTCAAAATTCTTTATCTCTCTATCTTTAAATCCTTTTTTTTGGTTTGTATGTTCTCAGAGATATGCAGAACTTAGAGTACAGACGAGGAACAATCCATTTTGCTGAGCTTGAAACAGGAGGAAAAAGAGTCGAATGTCCAACATGTCACGCTCCATTCAAACCTCATCTCGGTATATAACTATATATAATTCTGTTTCTTTTTCTCTTTCGTTATAATAATATTTTTATTTTTATTTACAGGGAATTTGATTGCGGCTAGGTTTCAATGTGAAAGCTGCAAATCTAACATAACTTTTAGAAGCACAAATGGAAGAACAGTGATATGTCCTTGTTGTCGTTTCTCGCGTCCTGCGCCAATTCTTAACACTCTTGTCTGTGATGGATGTGCTGCGACAGTCATATATCGAAAAGATGATCCAACTGTGAAATGTTTTCAATGCAAACACATCACAATTTCACCTGTAAAGTTTCTGTTTTTCTCTAGCGTTTGTAAGTTGAAAAATTGTTTGCAATTTCTTCAAAATTATAAGGATGTTTAACTTTTATTTGGTTTAGGAAGCGAATTATCAAATTTCTCAAGTGAACCCGGTTGTTCCTCCTCAAGTGAACCGGGTTGTTCCTCCTCAAGTGAACCGGGTTATTCCTCCTCCTCAAGTGAACCGGATTGTTCCTCCTCAAGTGAACCGGGTTGTTCCTCCTTCTCAAGTGAACCGGGTTATTCCTCCTCCTCAAGTGAACCGAATTGTTCCTCCTCAAGTTAACCGGATGAATCGTACAGCAACTGCAGAAACTGAATCAACTGCGACTTCTTCTGCTGTGAGTAATGTTGTCTATTTCACTTACAATGTACAAAGATCTTGATTTATAATAATAACGCTTTTACCATTTTTTGCAGCCAAAGCATGAGAGCTTACACACCAATCTTGATGAATACCCTGATTCTGTTGCTCAACTTGTAATCACCCAGCTTTTACTTTATTTTATGGAAATTTCGATATAACAGATTAGATTATGTAACTTATGTTATATATTTAATCTGTTACATCAAAAGATTGCATTTTTTTTAATACATTGTGTTTTTTGGTGGTTGTTTTGTGCGTGTCAGATAAGGAATGTTGCTCTTGGAAATGGAACAATCAAGAGAGAAGTAGAAGAAGACAAGACAGAAGCAAAAAGCAAGAAGATTCGTCTCTGATTGATTAAAAAGTACTCTAGTACTACACATTTGATCTTCTCTTTTTCTTTTTCTCTGCAAATTTGCTTCTGCTTTGTTTTTCCTCATCGTTTCTTTCCCTGTCTATTTATTACTGCAGTATTTTACTGATTTCTGTTGCCAAACACACAAACTTATGATTTTATCTAATATTGATTACCATTTTTTTACATTTTTGGTACTTTTCTGATCTATGTCAAAGTAATGGGTTAGAAAAATAAAAAATATTAAATTACATGGGTGAAAGTGAGAGACTTCGCATGTTCGAAAAAAAAGGGTGGGAGTTCGCCTAAAACGACGGCGTTTTAGTTTAAAAACAAAAGAACCGGTCAAACTCTTTACTTTTCCGACGCGGTGAGAAGAAACAAAACCCAAAGACGACGACGACGAAGATGACGATAGAAGGAAAATGGCATAGAATCGTAAATAAACAGAAACTTTGAGGGTAATCTAGTAAATACAAATCAAGATTAAATCGTACGGTACCGTGTGGGGTTTGTGATCATCTCGCTGATCCGTTAAAACTGTGAGAGCGTTTTCTTTGGCGGGTGTTCTCCAGTTTCCTCGTTTTCCCCAGAAACTACTTCAAATCTTTTTCTTGTCTTTCTCTGTCTGATTCTCTCTAATCATTCCTTTTTTTATTGATTTTTTTCCTTTTCTAATTCAATTGTAGTATCTAACCAGTTTCGATTTTATCACTACCCTTTATTTTATAAATTAAGAAATTCGATAGATAAAGAAGATACGTGAAATAAAAAGAGAAAATCGCAACAATCTCAGCCGTTCATTTGAGGTGGTAAACTCATCTCTTGTCGACCTTTCCTTTTTTTTTTTTGTAACTAGGTTAATTAAAAAATAAAATATTATTTTGTTTTATCGTATCGATTCCTTTACCTGGTTAAGTTCGGTTTGTTATTTTGTTTTTTTCTGTGTTCCTTCTTATTCGTTACTAGGTCCAATTAAATCCTTTTCTTTAATTTTCCCAGATTTGGGTGTATTTCTGTTTTTAACTGCGAATTCAATTTCTAAGCATTAATTGGGGAAAAAAGGAAAAAACTTTGAAGCTTTCTCGTTTTTATATCATAAGAGGTATACAAAAAATCTGCAAATAAAATTTGTAGTTTCTATTGGAATTCTCAAAACTCGTGTTGTTTTGGTTGATTGGTTTCAAGGTTGATTTTGATCTTCTATTGTTGTGTTGATCCCCTGAATTCAATTAGGGTTAGGGCTCTTAACTTCTCTGAATTGTTATCGTTTTAGCCTCCGGGTTTTTTTTTTTTTAATAATAAACATCGTTTTCTTATCTTTTGCGTTTTTTTTTTTTGTTTTTTTTTCTCAGTTTCGTTGGCTCTCATCGAGGAAACTTAGCTTCCAGAATTTGCTTTGAGGAGTGATTTCAATCCATATGGAACATCTCAGTGTTCCTCCATCAGAATCTGAGATCAAAGAGGTTAGCTCTCGATGTTAATTCGTATCTTAATGATAAATTGAATCGATTAATCACGGTTAATTAACGTTATTTTTTTGTTTTATTGTTCATTACTCAAGAACATTAGCTGTGTCTATGATTTGTATAGGTTAGCTTTATTTTCGGATCTCGTTCGTTTGCTTGAATTGGCAATTACCTAATCATAGATCATAGATCCCTTTGTCATTTTTGTTCTGTCTTTGATTCATTGATGTTGAATTCTATATCTGTTTTGTACTTATGTTCATCATTCTTGTGTTTGCTTGATCTTGTGATACAGTTTCTAACTGTTAATTTTAATAATTGGACATTATCAGACACAAATCATCAACTGTTTTACATAATATTACATGAACTGATAATTTTTTTTTTTTGTTTTCCAGGATATGTCACTGAAGAATCATCCTCCAGACAAGGATAAGGACAAGGACACGAACATGGAACCACCTAATAGTCCACGTCATCGGAAGGTAAGAAAGGACTCTTATGTACAAATGTAATCTGATGCAAAAATCATAAAAACAACTTTGATCTTACACAATGTTTTGTATATGTCAAGGTTCTTGCTAGATGGTTACCAGCTGAAGCGCAGAGGCCAATAGTTGATGAAGCTCCGGTCTTCTCCCCATCATTAGAGGTACTAATTGTTTCCCTTGAAATCAGTTTTCTTGTGTGTATTTTGAGATCTTTATGAGTTTTGTCTTACGTTGGTTTTGTTGTCATCAGGAGTTTGAAGATACACTTGCTTACATAGAAAAGATACGGCCACTAGCAGAGCCATATGGTATCTGCCGAATCATCCCACCACCGACATGGACTCCTCCTTGTCGGCTCAAGGAGAAGAGTATATGGGAGCACACAAAGTTTCCCACACGGATTCAGAACGTGGACCTGCTTCAGAACCGTGAGCCCATGAAGAAGAAACCCAAGAGTAGGAAACGGAAACGGAGAAGAAACTCGAGGATGGGTTCATCTAAGAGACGATCCGGCTCTTCTTCTCCCTCTGAGCCTGCTTCATCTCCCGAGGCGGAAGAGAAGTTCGGGTTTAACTCTGGCTCTGACTTCACTCTCGACGAGTTTGAGAAGTATGCTCTGCGTTTTAAAGACTCGTACTTTGAGAAGAAAGACGACAATGGTGGAGATGCAAAATGGACACCGTCCGTGGAGGAAATAGAAGGCGAGTATTGGCGGATAGTGGAGCAACCAACAGATGAAGTTGAGGTATAGAAACAGACCACTTCTATCACCAAACAAAACACAGGCATTTTAGAGAGATAAACTAAAGCCAGTTTTTCTTTGTTTGTAGGTATACTATGGAGCTGACTTGGAGAATGGGGTACTTGGAAGCGGGTTTTACAAAAAACCGGAAATGTTAACCGGTAGCGATATGGATCAGTACGTAGTTTCTGGCTGGAACTTGAATAACTTGCCTCGTCTCCCTGGCTCAGTACTCTCTTTTGAGGACTGTGATATCTCCGGAGTTTTAGTCCCATGGCTCTATGTGGGAATGTGTTTTTCATCATTTTGTTGGGTAAGTACAATTTCACACTCTAGTAAATCATGAGTTTCATTCCCTGATGAGTGTTGAATGGTTGATCATGTTTTTGTTTATGGCCTGAATAGCACGTGGAGGACCATCATCTATATTCACTAAACTATCATCACTTTGGGGAGCCAAAAGTATGGTATGGTGTTCCCGGAAGCAATGCAACCGCTCTCGAGAAGGCGATGAGAAAACATCTTCCTGATTTGTTTGAAGAACAGCCTGATCTACTTCATGGCCTGGTTAGGACTAAAACATCTACTTCATTTTGTCGGTTTTTTTTCATGTTTAGTCTTCACTGTGTTTAGAGACTTACTTTTTAAATGGTTTCAGGTTACTCAGTTTTCTCCTTCAATTCTAAAAGATGAGGGAGTCCAGGTTTATCGTGTGGTTCAGAATTCAGGGGAGTATGTACTTACGTTCCCGAGGGCGTATCATGCTGGATTCAACTGCGGTTTCAACTGTGCAGAAGCGGTTAATGTAGCTCCGGTTGATTGGTTGGCTCATGGACAGAACGCTGTGGAGCTATACAGTAAAGAGACAAGGAAGACTTCTCTGTCTCACGACAAACTTCTCCTCGGAGCAGCTTATGAAGCTGTTAAGTCACTTTGGGAACTCTCAGATTCTGTGGGAAATGAAAACGCCACAAACCTGAGATGGAAGAGTTTCTGTGGGAAGAACGGAACACTTACCAACGCGGTCCAGGTAATGAAAAAAAAACACTAAATTCTTTAGTCATGATACTGAAAATGGTTTTTTTTCTACTTTACAAATGCTTAAACGGTTCATGTTTATAGGCACGGTTACGTATGGAAGAGGGAAGAATTGCAGATCTTGGAATGGAATCTTCGAGTTTAGTGAAGATGGAGAAGGACTTTGATCTAAACTGTGAAAGGGAATGCTTCTCATGTTATTATGATTTGCATCTCTCGGCTTCTGGCTGCAAGTGCTCCTCCGAAGAATACGCGTGCCTTAAACACTCGGAAGATCTCTGTTCATGTGAAGAGAAGGATCGATTTGTCCTTGTGCGTTACACCATGGATGAGTTAAGCTCGTTGGTCAGAGCATTGGAAGGGGAATCAGATGATCTGAAGATATGGGCTTCCAAGGTCTTAGGCATTGTTGATGATGAGGCAAAGAATGTTATTAGCGAGGAGAAAAAGCTAAAGGAAGGTTCGTTTGATCTGAACATCGACCTAGAGTTGGATTCTCACGAGGAGCTTAAAGAAGAAGCCAGCACCAGTGGCGAGTTAACCCCTTCAGAGAAGTTTGGTGTATCGGTCGAGCCTATAAACCTTGGTATCTTGATTTTTGGAAAGCTTTGGTGCAATAAGCATGCTATATTCCCAAAAGGTACAACCTCTGAATAACCCCTTTTATTCAGAAGTTTGCTTAAAAGGTTGTTGTTGACGTTTTTTATCTTCCGGTTTTTACAACTTAACAGGATTCATGAGTCGTGTCAAATTCTACAACGTGCTTGATCCAACAAGAACGAGCAATTACATCTCCGAGGTTTTGGATGCAGGACTCATGGGCCCATTGTTCAAGGTAAAGCTTTTTTTCTCCTAGTATCATTCCATTGGATAAAAAGTTGACCTTCAAAAGCAACAGCACCTGACTTTTTCTTTTCTTTGTTGTTCAGGTCACTCTAGAAGAATCTCCAGAGGAGAGCTTCTGCAATGTCTCGGCTCAACAATGCTGGGAGATGGTGCTGCAGAGAGTTAAAGATACGTCTACAAATCTTGGTCTTGCTACTTCTTCGCGGTTTGAGAGTATCAACGGGCTTCAAATGTTTGGTTTTCTCTCGCCATCTATAGTTCAGGTAAAAGGCTTAATCCAAATCCTCCTTCTTTCATTCATTCATTTAAAACCTGTACAATGATCTTTACTCTTTACACAACTTAATCCCTCTCTACAGGCCATCGAAGCACTTGACCCGAACCATAGACTCGTTGAGTACTGGAACCACAAGAACCAAACTTCATCATCCGAGTCAAAAGATCACTTCATATCATCAAACTGCTCCGTGAGTTTAACCAAAGGAAAACTTTTCGGAGTAGATTTGATGTAACAAGCTCAAGAGCAAGCAGCCAACAACTCAAGAGCAACAAGACTGTACCAACTCCGAGACAAAGACAGTGACTACCTTTTAGATAGATAGAGAAGCGACTTCTTTTTTCTGATATTTTTTTGGGAGCATTTATTCAAAATCTTTTGTTCTTTTTTTTCCTCCGCAATTTTCAAATAACCTAACCTTAGTGTTAGAAGTGTAAAAACTAGGAAAGTTCAATTCTTTCGCTAATGCGATCTCTTAATAATAACAAAATTCTTCTTTTCAAATCCAGAAAACTGCTTATATTCCTTGTATTAGACTTTATATACAGAGTTACACAGTATCATGAAAAAAGAAACAAAACTGGAATGTCGAAAATCTTGAAAGAAGAAAACTTTAGTATTCGAATTCGAGATTCGCATCTTTGAAAGAACAAAAGTTGAACTATTTAAGAGAATTATGTACAGAAGAATCTTGGAAGGAAAAAAAAAAAGAAAACTTCAAGGACTAAAAGAGTTAATACTTTCCCGCCGTTTGTTGAATCTTGACGGTTACACGCCGGAATGTAGAATCAGATCAAAGCTAGAGCCAGAGGAAGCAAGAACGAGCTTGTTGTGAATTGTGAAATGGAAACAGAAGCAGAGGTTTCATTCGTATTGGATTCAGATTCGGGACGGGGACGGCGACGACGACGAGTCCTTGGACGGAGACTATCAGCTAAAGTAGGATCACCATTTCCGACATCGCCGTAACGAGAGAAATCAAGCGACGAAGCAACACCGTGAATCGCAATCGAGGAAGAGAGGAAAAGATCTGGCTCGGAGACGAGAACGCCGTCGATAGTGAAATCGGAAACAGAGTTATTGGTGACGACGATTGTGTTTCCGGGGAGAAGAGTCGGGAGGCGAGAGAGAGGTTTCAAGAGGCGGAGATCGGAGAACGCGAGACGTTGAGGAACGATGTGGTAAGCGACGGAGAGACGACCGGAGTTAGTAGATCCGCCGTTAGAGGAGGAGGAGGAGGAGGAGGAGACGTCGGCGGCGTCGAAGTCGCTGGGGATGAAGATGGTGGCGGAGAGAGGGATTCCGAATTGGTCGTCGACGGCGGAGAGGAAATCGGCGGCCCAGTCGCGGAAATCGCCGGCTCCGATCATCGCTTCGATGATTCTGTCTGCGTATTGGCGATCTTGCGGCGTTAGTGACGGAGGAGAAGCGGCGGAAGTTAGAACTGAAACGGTGGCGAGGAGGAGAAGGAGAAGGAGATGGCTTGAGGTGGCCATCGGAGAATCAAATCGGCGGCGAAGTTGGTTGTTACAGAGAGAGATCGAGAATCAATCTTGGAGTCTTTTGAAGTTCGTTAGGATTTAACTGAATAACTCTCTCTCTCTCTCTCTCTGCTTAAATCATAATAACTGTGGAGGAAGGATGAGTCGTACCGGTTTGGTTAGCGATAATTGGACAAACCGGGATTTTTTATTTTTAGAAATTTTTTTCAGTAACCGAGATTTTGGAGTTTTTTTTTGTTTGGTTCGATTTTATTTCTTCGGTTCAGATCAATCACGGATGGTTTACGACTTTGATTTACTGTCCTGGTATAATTTAGGACGCAAGCTTATTATCAGATGGAAGCAAGAGACTACAACTTTTTTTAGCAGTAAATTGAGAAAAGATTCCAATAAGTATTTGTAGAGTGATACTAGTATCAAATGAGTCTTGAAAATGAACTTAAAGGTGCCTTTTGTGTGTTTATCAAACTCTGAACCACTTCTCAGTTACCACATCGTGAAGCATGTTGTGATTGCTATACCAAATGTTAGTTTTTCCAATCAATTTAGCAATGGGCAAAAACAGAGTCAATAGAAGAAAGAAAGATTCAGAAATATTGAGCAATGATTCCACATCCAATATAGAGAAAAATGAATGATTAGTTGTTGTTCTTATAAATGCCATTGCTTGGTACCTTCTTGATGATGTCTCGCCGGTAATCTCCACAAGTAGATCAAGAGAAATCTGATCAATTTCCTTGCGTTTCATGTCTTCTCCGATTAGAAAACCACATATTCTTCTACTTGTTTTTGTAATTTTTGTATATTTATGTATAATATGTTAGATATTATAATTCGAGATTAGGGGAAACCACAACATTTGATTCTGCATGTCTACATGAAACTCTACTTGCCCTATTGTCATTTTTCACCGGTAATTGATTAAAGGCTTTTCGTGGTCAAAGCCCAAATAAATTTTATTCATTATTTTGTTACACGAGATTTCTTACAATGATATTATTATCTCCGATTAGACATGATCATGCCGACATAATTTAATATACGTTATAATAGATACTTTTATTTAGCCCTTCTGGTTGTAGACATGATCACGGCCACGTTGGCTTGTAGAAGGGGAAAGTAGGAAACCTGAAACCAGGGGCAGGCACAATGTACGATGGACGTGGGATTCTTTGGAATGGTGCAGGGGCAAACGGTAACGGTGGAATAGTTGACGGCACCGGAGGATCAGTTCCGCCGAAGGGCAAGCAGTTATCGTTGTCTACGGTTGTGCTGGTGACTCCATAGACCGCCGGATTCTTATCATTCAAACGGCGTGATGCGGTGGTTTCCGGCGTGAGACACAAGATCAAGATTAGGGTTAGTGCGAAAGTGGTGAACTTAAAGTAGGTTGAAGAAGCCATTATATGATCAGTTCATGTGTTGTAGAATTAGGAGGTAATTAGTTTATATATATAGGACGTATGGCACTTATAAGAATTATCAATATCTATGTGAAAAAGAAAAAGAATGCAATTATTTAATGTGTACGTTTTACATACCATGCATCATGCTCCATTGAAATGGTTGTTTATTTGTTGAACGTCTAGATGTATTCCTTTTCAAGTGTAACTAATTTTGTTCTGTCTTTTTAAATATAGGCGTTTATACCTTATTTGAGAGATATCGTAAATACTACAATCTCAAAATGTTTCTTTTCTTCTAGGATGGATCCGATTCGAAGAGTCATTTCTTCTATGATTATCACAACGTTATTCATCTGGCAAACGTGGCATAGCTAGTACTACTGAATGTTACTGAAATATATTTGATAAAAACGTTAATCTTCTTTGGAAAATTATTTTATGTATATAACTAGCTAGTAGTCTAGTACCACTGGCTATCATATGTTTCTGTACGTAACGCAACATCAAATGAACCAAAAATGGGGCACAAGCATATGCATGTTTGCTGCTCCATTTTGACAATAACAAAGATAAATAAAATTCATAATGAATAGAAAGGGTAATTATCAGAATAGTCGAAACTGTTATATCAAATTTGAAATATAAATATAGATATATAATAGATACGTAACGTATCTAATAAACTAATTTTCTTTTCTTTAATATATTTTTTTCTTTTTCTAATAGGATCGTGAACATTATGGCGATGCGCTTGTAGCTCAAAGCTCCGTCGTTTTCCTGACTATAGACCGCTTGAGCTCATTGATCTTAATATTGTCGCGGTTTTGGCCGGTGAGCTCCTTATGTTCCGGGTCGAATGTAGGCTATATCGGAGTCTTGATACTGGCTAGCTCCTGTCTTGTCTTTGAGCTGAACCAGTTTAGGTAGCAGTCGTTGTACGTGACATTAAGTGTATACAAATTGGGCCAACTACAATACATGTGGATGCATGTTGGCTGTTGCATTTGATAATAGAAAATGTATGTATAAAATACATAATGAATAAAAACTAATGTGAAAAGTGAACATTATATTGATTTTTGAATTAAAAATAGAAATACACACTTATGACTTATATAAGAAACTTACGTAGAAACATATTAGTCGAAAGAAAAAAAAACTTACGTAAAAACTAGAGATGTCAAACGAGCCAACCCGCATCCAATTAGCCCGACCGGATACGGGTTTAATTTTTTTCCGGGTTTGGCAGGCTGTCCATCATAAGCTGCGGTCCCAAATTGATGTGTCCAAGTCCGATCCATCTATATTTTACGGTTTTGCGGGTTGGCCCGCGGGTTCATACTTTCTTTTTCATCTTAAAGTTCTTATGACATTTAGACTTATAGAACCAGAAAATCTGCAAGAGAAGGATAAAGTTTTGCTCGTAACTGAATCACAATATGCATCAGAAACAAAACTAAAGAAGATTCTTGTCTAAGTAAATTCGATGAACAAACAAATGAATTCGATAAACCTCGTATACAAAACTCTTAGCCCTAGGATGCCATAAGATTTGAAAAATCAATTTAACGGTAAGAATAGACACTTAGTTTTGAAAAACAAATAAATGAATTACAAATAATGATACACATCAAAACTGGTAATTTAAGCTAGATAACCATCAAGTTACAAGCAACAAGACATTCACATACAAAATCAAAAAAAAAAAAATAGATGAACAAAGCTTATTTGTTAGTACAGCGTACAAACAAATGTGATTCTCAAGCAAAACTATTTATTGTCAATTCAAGATTTAAGCGATTCTAAATTACCTTTGCATCGCTGCAGATAAAATAAAATCCACGTCCGTGATATAGTCGATGAGCAAAACCAACAAAAACAGCAAACTTATGACATTAAACTGAAATTAAAACCACAAAAAAAAAATATTAGTTTTGTAGCTGGGAAGACAATGACCAGATTTTCTCCTAAATTCAAAAATCCAATCACAGAATCTGAATCGAATCGAATATAAAACACATACCAGTTTGATGATTCCTTGATTTCATTGAAATGAAGCTATCACAAAGTCCAATAGCTGAATTTTGTGACTCCACTAGGCTTCGATTCACTCCATGAAACTACTACTTCGAAATCCACCAATCAAAGATGACAAAATACTTCACTTTTCGAGTTTTACAAGAAAACATCAAATTCTGCGGGTTGGCCCGCAAACCCGTGGATCCGCTCTAACCTGACCCGCAAAAGCCCAATTTCCATGCGGGTTTGGACCGCGAAACCCGCTTTTTATTTGGACAAATTTTATGGAGCCTAATCCCGCATTGCTGCGGTTCTACTTAGGCCGAACCCGGGGGTCAGAGCCCAATTTGACACCTCTAGTAGAAACATTGTCATAAACATGCAAGAGTTTTAGCTATTTAGCCATTAGACAAGTTTCTACGAACAAAAAAAAAAAATCCAAACCTACTTTTAACTAGCAGTGTTTCTTTTTTAATAAAAAATGATGCTCCAAAAGCTTGCGATTCCCTAATTTGAAAAGATAGCAGCCGAAGACAACGAGCTAATGAGAGGAACCTAGAGGTCTAGGATTTTTGAAAAAAAAAACTCTTTGATCAGTCTCCCATAGATGGTTTCTTGGTTCCTTGAGATATAAGTAATTGGGATTTGATGGCTTGAGAATCTATGACCGATAGACGTCTGACTCTTTTTATGGAAATCTCTGGAATCTGCTTTACAAAAACGTGAGCATGCTACTGACTGAATCGATGGAGCCTTTACAAAAACTAAGTAGGTTATCTACAAAGTATAATTGGGAGCCTTAACCATGGTGGTATTCAGAATCTCTAATATCAACTAATATACTTAGGACCAGAGGTCGATATTCGATTTGAAAAGTATTCTAAAGTAATCTAAGGGGTCACAGGATTGAGTGACAGCTGGGACGGATAATATATTAAATGTTGGCTCGAGTTTAAAGAGATGTACAGGCTTCGACCCAGAATCTCTTTATTATTAAAAAAAACTAATATACTTAGGATGAAACTTATTATCAGGTGGGTTGCAACTTTTCTTAGCAGAGACTCCAATAAGTATTTGTAGACATTTTAATATCAACTACATCCTGAGAATGAGGACTTCAATATTATATAAAATATTCTTATATATACTATGAACAGTTTAATACATAAATGAAAAACAAACAATTTTTTTTGCATGCTCTTTAAACAGAATCAAATCATTAAAGAAAAAAAACATCACAAAAATCTTTTTTTTGCACAAAAATTATGAAAAAAAAAACATCATAAAAAACATCATGAACATCTTAATGAAGTAGTTCTTGGTAATCACCAAACATTGCTTGTGCTTATGCTGCATCATTAACTCCATTATTCACATCATTCAAATTTGCTTCAATCTGCTAGAGTTAAATCATCTTCTGGCTTTAAATCAGGTGGCTCAGGAATCTTCAGAATTGATACTATACTCATATTGGTGTCATCTTGTGCAAACTCTTGCTTGGTTTTTAAAAACCAGCTTCTGCCTATACCTTATAATAACACCACCCTCCAAAATTGCAATTTTTATTTCTTAAACCATTTTCCATTGCCATTGCCGTTTTCTACTGTACGTTTCCAACTGTTGGTTGGTCCCTTGACTCTTCTGGTTACAAACTCAAGCTATCCCACCAGTGTTTAATCTCTTATTACCTTGATTTTCAGGATATTTACCAAGCTAATAGGCAACCTCTCAACAAGTACAACATTTTTCAAGTAGAAACGTCTCCCAGCTGTCCCATATTTCTCATTCTGTAGACTCTAGAGTAAATTTAGTGCAAATTTCATGGTTTCTAAAAAAATCAGAAAAGAAAGTGGACTTCTTCTTATTTCTTTTAATGACAGATCCTATGAAGAAAAACACTGTCATCTTCAAAAGATCTTCATTTTCCTCTTTCTCTTCCACTGAGATTAGGTTTTCATGCATGTGTGAGATATCCATCAAAACCATTTCTATTATAAACTCCGACTGTTTGTTCTTCACTTTCTATAGAGAAAATATATTCTCTTGGCCTGAAGTAGGGCTCCACGTGTAGTTTTGAGGGAGCTTAGCAGGACTGTTTTGATACAAGTCTATTTGGGTGACGAGACAGTTGGGAATGCAGATATTGTTGACATATGGTTGTAAAAGCAGTCTTATAATCTCCTCATCACTAGGAGCAAATCTCACGCATGGAGGTAGAGGCATATATCTTGATGGTCAATAAGCCAGAAGTGTTGACTCAGAACAAAGCCAGAGCCGATGAAAGCAAGAACGACCCTGATGAAAAAAGTGCAAAGTTTCTCACAGAACTATAAAAATTATGTGGAATCTTGAAGGTCAAGACAGAAAAGTTGCCCGAGTGTAGAGTCAGAACAATACCAAAGGCAAAGCAAGAACAAGGCTGTTGAGGAATGTAGGATGGAGACAAAGCAGAGGTTTAATTGCAGTCAGATCCAAGATGAAGACGAAGATGAGGGTACTTTCTGGCCGTGAGTGGAATCTTGAAATTCAATTCGCGGGAATGTAGAGTGGGAACAATACTAGAGGCAATGGAAGCAAGAACGAGCCTGTTGAGGAATGTACGATGGAGACAAAGCAGAGGTTTTATTGCAGTTGGATCCAAGACGAAGACGAAGATGAGGACGGATACTATCGGTTAATTCAAAATTGCCGATACAAGGAATCTTGCAAGTTCGTTAGGAGGCAACTGAATTTTTAACTCAGGAGTGTGGAGGAAGCAAGAGTCTCGTATATCATCGGTTTGGTAAAAGATAAACTGGAGATACCAGGAGTTTTAAGAATTAAAGTTTAAAGCCTCCTTCGAAAACCGAGTTTTTTTTCGAGTCGTTTGGTTCGATGTTATTTGGCTTCGTTTCAGATCAATAACGGATATACGACTTTTCTTTTCTTTTCTTGAGCTGTTTACACATTATAACCCACCCTATACCGCATATATATATATATATATATATATATATATTTTAACATCTTTTTTATTTTGGTGGAATATTTAATAGAATCACCGTATTAGATTCTCATTGAGTTGTGTTAATTAGCTTGCTAACTGATATAGTAAGAGAGACCTAAAACTTTGACGAAATTTTTTAAAACTACATAAACTAAAGTTTAGGTATGTATTATATAAATTCAATACACAAGGTATGTGAATCATAATAGAATTTAGGTATGTTAAAGCATCTCCAATGATAGTCTCTCATAGAGGCTTTTATGATTTAAAAAATAAAAAAAAATAAAAAAAGGATGAGAGAGAATGAGAACTCAACATCCATAATCTCTATTTTGAGAACCTCTAATACAAAATTTGAGAGACTCTTGTGTTGTCACCATTTTATTGGTGGAATTTATTTTTATAATTTAAAATTTAACTAATTAATTAAATTACATAAAAATAACAATATTATATTAGATAAGATATATTGTTAAAAGCTTCTTACCATTGGGATGGTCTTAGTGATACCCTTCAGGGATTTTAAATTTGGAAATTGTTAAAAACTTAAAACTTTTAACTACGAAGGTAGTAAATCCGAGAACCAAGAGGGTATCTAAACCGAATAAAACCAAATAGATTTAGTATGGCAATTATTTCTAGTGAACCGAAACCGAATTCATATCCGGTTGAACACCTCATTGCGATACATAATATTTAAAGGATTTAGGAGTTGTGTCAAGCTCTACAAGCTGCTTGATCCGAAAAGAAATGAGCAATCAGAACTCATTTTCTGTGGTTCTTTTCCTGAAGTTAAATCTTGAAAAGCCTGTCTAATGAGCTTCATGTTACTGTGGGTGCATCTCCATGTTGAGGTAGCTTCTTACATGTCTCGGGACACCAGTGCTGAGAAATAGTGTTGAGAGTTAAAAGCTAAGAACTAAAAGATTCATCCTTTTATCTGGCGTCAAAATGATCATCACATTCTTTTGTTTCGGGTAAACTATGATCCAATTTACTTCTTCAAACCCTATTAATGATCGTTACTCTGCACACAACTTATCCTCACCACATGCCATTGAATCTCTTGAGTCTTTGAGCCAAACCATAAATTCATTGAATATTGTACGTCTCAGTCAGTGAGTCGGAGATAGTAACAGAGAGTTAAGAGATTGGAAATGAGATGGTGAGAGAGAGTTCTTGGACCAGTGTTTGTTTACTAGCCATAGGTATCCAAACAAAATGGTGAAACTGTCTTCTACTCCAAGTAACCCTCAAGGGTTCCCATTAACATGACATTCATAAATTTTAGTTCTCAAACCTTAAACTTGAGGGTCAACATCTATTCGACCAAAAAATAAAAATAAAAATGCAATTTCCTTTTTGTTAACATGTAAAATGCACTGTCAGAAAAAAACATATAAAATGCAATTTATATGTAGCAAGTAATAATTCAAATTAACTTACTTGGGATTCATGATTTTGCTTACAAGTTTTCTGCTTGGAAACACTTTGACTTCGTCTTCTGCGGACTCGCCATGGTAATATCCCTCAATCAAATACGCCAACACCATTTCTACAAATTAAACGCAATTGGCTTGATCTAATTTTGGTGAATTCTGTGAAAACGCGATGGCAAGAATAGTGGTTAAGGAAAGTACGTTTGTGTTCTGAACTAAAGTAGATTTTTTTTTTCTTCTACCCAACATTACATGTGGCTAATCAGAAAAATGGTTTGGAAACCATTTTCGACCGACTCGGTATGATTGATTTGGGAAAATTAAATCCTCTTGCTCGAATTCCTTTTGCAAGACTATACGCTTGAACATTTAGACTTTTAGGGATGTGAGTTAAAATGAATTCCGATAAGCTTTCTTAAAAGATACAGAAGGATTCTAACTCTGTCATAAATGACAGTCAATCTTCTGGAGATTCATACATGCTCACAAGATCCAAACAATCGGTCTGGAAATGAACCGAAATAATCTGTTTATCTCTCAAACATGACATAGCCTACAGAAGGTTGTCCATCTCGACATGAAGGATCGAGAGGCTTATGTGGCATCTCTGATGTCCGAAAATCTCATTTCCCTACTATCCTCCAAAATCCACCGAGACCACTAACCAGTCCGTGATTGATCCAAGAAGCATCAATTCGGCATATCGGAAAACGCTGGTCTTCAGGTAGAGATATCGAAGGTGGAGGAGGGACCATCGTTCCACTTTCTGTGACATCACCGTCTTTAGGTTGGTTTGCGATTCTTCAATTTTTTGCTTCCAACTTTACATGAAGCAAAGTATCTTCTAAAGAAAAAAAAATTTTGTTGAAGATTTTTACGTTCATTGCTTTCTAAATAAATCATAGGTTCCAATAGATTCAAATATTCTAGATTCTTGATGTGAGATTCTTTTCTATGAACATTCATGTAGGAAAGGTTGCGAGATCAGACAAAAATTGACTATAGTGTATTTGTAATTTTGAACCTACTCAAAATTGTATGCTGTAATGTTGATTGGGTTCTTTGGCTCAGTGTTCAACGGCATGTTCAATCTTTGTTTATCTGAGTTTATTTTTTTTAATCTTCCGCGAAAACATCAGATAAAAATACTTTATCTAATTAATAAAGATCCTAAACACAAGCAAAAGTTTCATCCATATATACTTGGGGGCCTGGGTTTAGGTATAAATATCTATAGGTGCCATCGCACGTCGTCAACGGTATGAATTTGATGAATAATCAATAGTTTTGCGTAGAAATTCATATCAATCTCCATTCATATATATAATCTTATCATACATTTCTCATCAGGTATGTTGTATGACAATTACAATATACAAATGTCAATGTTCTATTTCTTTCACATCGTTGGATTTTATCTAGTTATAACGTATAAAACTAACACTCTTAATATCGTCAAATTCATTAATATTATATATTCATATCTGCTCATCCGTACAAATTTCTTGTAAGAGTATTCAACTAGATTTTAAAAATGAAATAGTTTATTATACTTAGTGATTACACTCTGATTTAGATTAATTTGAAAGATGAATCGAATGTCATGTCTTTAAAACACTCATAGCTCATATAATTATCTAATTCATATATGGACATAGTTTAATTGACCTTTGTTGGGTGTTCTATGGTACTGATTTTTTATCCCGTTTTTGGGTTTACTAAACTCTCAGTCTTCCAACAACAAAAGTAGCTTGAGTTGATGGATTCCATGTTAATAAAGGTATTCTTTTCTCTCATTTTTTTTTTTAACATTTCACTAATATAAGTATCTTTCAGTGACGAATATATCATGAAATTGAAATGATAGTTTAAGATAATGATTTATGAGGTATAAAAAATCAAGTAGACTACTTAAAGATATTACATCTACAAATCGTTTAGTTTTCAACTTGCATGTATGTGATCGCAATTTGTTCATCAAAGGGCAGACATAATGTTGTTGATAAAAACCTTTTCGTTACCTAAAATTTTCACAGTTTGAATGGATCATTTTTAAGGATTTCTCATATTAAATTAGACAAAATAGCGTTTAAAACTAAGAATGGGATGATATCAAATATAGTTAAAGATTCTGTAAAACTTAAAGTAGAAACAGAGCTGTGCAATTACAGTTTTATTTTATTTGATGGAATTGTTTGTTATGAACCAAACGTAATTCGACACGGTCGTAGTTTTGGTTTCGATCGGAATTCAGGTTTTTAAGCAAAGTTTATATTTTTTATTTTATTACTTTTAAAAAGTTGAAGTTCTAATCGTTTTTTTTATAGAATTCTGTTTGGTTTGATTTTGGTTATATAAAAATAAAACCATATAGTGTGTGTGCGAAAAGGTTCTTGTTCCTTGCCGTTGACTTAATAAGGTGGGATACAGTTAAAGATCTTGGTCAAAACACTCTTCGTTGACATGATGTTTGACTTTGAATACGATAACATATTCTTTGGTGGAAAGTAGGAACACAAAGCAAAAACAAAAACAAAGGTTTTACAAATCCTCAACAAATGAACTCAAACTATAAATTTGACTCTTCATCAAACTCCGACTAGACATCATCTTAATCCACACTAATACACAATGGCTTCACATTCACTTGTGCTTAGATACTTCCTCGTGTTAACTTTTTTCATACTCCTCAACTCCGAAGAAACACTTTCATCACGACTAGTGAGATCCACGGCCAAAGTAGCTCAGATTAGCGCCGATGATTATCCATCTTCGGGTCGTAATTCACCGGTCCACGACCTCGGATTCCCTGACTTTCCATCTTTTCAAGAATCAGTAGCGACGCCACCTCCGCCTCCGCCATATCTGCCTCTCCTTCCACCGTCTCCGCCTGATCTGCCTCTCCTTCCACCGCCTCCTCCGACGTATCCTGATCTTGAAAAGCCTAGGCTTCCTGTTCCAGTTTGGCCTTCTATCCCCGATTTCCCGCCTTTTCCGTTCATAGATCAAGCACCTCCTTCTGAATTTTCTGCTCCGAGATTTGACGAGTCTGATACTTGGCTGCCTTCTACCCCAAGTAACCCTCAAGGGTTTCCATAAACACATGAGGAAACTCATTGAAATCTCAATTCTCAAGAATTGAAACCTGATGGTTAAAATTTATATTTTTAAGTTTTTGTATCAATTATAATAATTGAAAACAAAATCTGATGTAGTATGATTCAAGTAAATAATAAAACCAAGTTACAAATTCTCTAGTTGGAAAATATTTGACTCTATAGTAAGTTTATTAATTCTAATCGTTGGCTTGTACACAATATCAGATTAAAAAAAATCAACATTTATTTGAAAAGGAAATTACAAAAAAAAAAAAAACCAAAGCTCCAAATCATGCTTAATAATTCTACATAGATCGACCATTGAATGGGGCAAAAAAAAGAAGAAGCACATTATAAAAACGTAAAATTTGCTCCATGTTCTTCCGGTGAGATATATAGGTGGCAATTATCATTGTTCCCAATTCCATATCGACGTCTAAATTCTTCATCATCTGCAACTCCTTCTACTTTAACCTCCTTAAATATATTGCTTTCTACATTGAAGTAGAGAATGTTAAAAGGTCGAACGGAACGTGGCAAAAACTTTGGGGCGAGAATAATCTCTCCCATCTTGTTGGTGCCTTGAAAAGACAATATTGAAGTTTCTCCTAAATAATCCCACCAACATCTCCGAAACGAAAAGCTTCTCATCGACCATTCATGTTCCTTGGCATCTCGTAATACCCAAAAATCAAAGTTAAAACTTGTCTCACCACGCGAGCGGACAATATTAACATTAGCCAAGTTTCCTTTGTAGTCTATCAAAGTTGAAGTAGAGTCCCAATGTATGTTGTCCGTTGAAGGTAGGTTGATAAATCTTTGCCTCTCTGATCTAACATCAAAACACACAATCACTCGATCATTTTTCTTATATTGTGTTGGAGTAATAGCGCCATAATACACAAACCCATTGATGCATATTCCCTTTGTTAAAGGGTGATAACTCTTGTTAACGCCTTCAATATGTCTCCACGAAGGTTTCTTGTCACATCCAAGTGTTAAAACTACGTGCTCTTGATCTTCCTCAGAACTTGAAGCAATCTTACACATTGCTTTATATTGATCATTAACCGGATCGTATCCCAAGTATTTATAAGCAGACTTCATATCATTACCCGCTATTTCGGGCAAGGTTATAACTTGTCTTGTGCTAGGGTTACATACCATGAACCGACCTTTATGAGAAAGGCAGATAAAACCATTGACGGAAGCGCACCGTGGGTGGAAATACGCGTCCATGGAAGCCATTGTCGTTTCCAAGTTTGCTACCAAAGAAGAAGATTCATGATCTTGCTCTTGTGAAGAAGTAAAGAAGAACAAACGCTTTTCAGCATTTTTACGGGTTAATTGACCGTTTTTGAAAGAGATTAGAAGCCGTGATGTTGGCGGCGTTGAGCGCATGTAGACCGACGAATTAATGAAATCTTTGCTTCGGATGATGGAACACCACGTCTTCGAAACATATTGAAACTTCAAAAGAGATTTTACGGGCAATCTAGTGAGAATCTCCACTGTTAGATCAAAAGGTATCGGATCTTTGAGACTTGGACCGTTTTTGGAATCGTTATTGTTATGTACTTGCTCCTCGCTTTTCATGGTGGACAAGGAGGTGAGTATAAACTTCCACAGATTTCTATGTACATATGTGGTTTAGGCACCTATATATATATGAAAATTAATATCAAACCGTAGCGGAATAGGAAACTGATTAAAAAAAAAAAGAGGAAACTGATTAAGTCGGTTTGTTGATATTTACGTCAGTCCAACAATACAAGAAGTTCCCGTTTAATGATTTATCACTTAAGTCTTATCCATGGAAAAGTAAACAAAATTTCCATTTTTGTCACAATTAAACAAATGTTCTTAATTTCTTTTTCCCCAACAATATTTCTTAGTGGAGTTATCTTGAATAAACTAATGATCAATAAGAAAAACAGAAATGGAAACATCGAATTCATTAATGATTTATTCGAAATCAGCAAACTAGACGTTATTTATTTGTCCTTTTTTTATAACACCAATCAGTCTTCTATATTCATATGAAAATAGTGGTTATAATACAAGGATTACTCCTAGATAAAATGGAAATATACAATATATGCTTTAGATAATTATGTGTAATATCCTATCAATTTGTTTTAAAACAACACGATTTTGTATGCTCCTATCAAAGTTTTAGGGAGTGCTCTGTTTGGTTAGGCGTAAGCGAATTTACCACTTCCTCTGTTTACCAAGCAAGATGAAATTCGATTGGATAACGATTTTGAATTACAAGTTTATATTGATACACAAAGACACAAGTAACAAAAGTCTTTCCTAAGACAAATCCCAAACCATACACTCTTATTATTGTTTAACTCAAAATTTCACTCAAGTTCTGTAGGAATACTTTGTTCATGTCTGAAGAAATTCTCAGGATCAAACTTAGCTTTAACCTTCACCAACCTCTCGAAATTTCCCTTGAAGTACTTATTCCCCCATTCTCTTGCATCACTCCCTTTACCATTCGTCCCCAAATCAAGATCTCTATAGTTCACATATGCAGATCTCGGGTTTTTCGATACATACTGCTCCATGTAACTATACATTTCCCTCATCCACTCCATATGCTTTGCCTCGCTCGCTTTCCCGTCTTGCCACAAAGTCAGCCATTGGATCTTGAACAATGTGCCACTCCTATGTGGGAAAGGTGTTTCTGTCTCAGGGATTCTCGCCATCATTCCACCGTAAGGGTTCCATATAGTCAATGGTGAATCCTCTTCTAAAAGCTTTTTCCATAGCCCTTCTAATCCTTCTATTGGAATTGGCTCTTCCACATAGTCTGACTTGGCTTTGAAGTAATTCTTGAACAAGGATTTCCCATCGAGTAGAGCTTCCGATGGCGCGGTGCTCGGATAACCAGCAATGTACATCACTGATTTGATCCAGCTTGTCTCTAAACAGTCCTTCTTCGTTAGTCCAAGCTGTGGGAAACTCCTCTGCATCACCTGTCAACAAAAAAAAAAAACAAGGTTGAAAATGTAATAATCAGAAACTTCCTTCCTTAATTCGCTATAAACCAAACTTTCATAAATTACAATATAGACCTTTAATTTTACATGATTTTGATCACATTACCTGCAATAACCGATTCGCGTCTCCGAGAAATTGGCCTTGGTACGAAGTCGAGATAGTTCTCTCTTTGCTCTTTGCCGTTTTGCTCGCCGGCTGAATAATCACGCGGATAAAGAGATCATCGTCGAGCTTGTCGGCGACTTGTTGCCACGTGTGCAAAACCTTAGTCCCGTCTTGCTCCAGCGTCCTCGTGACGGTGAACACCGTAACGATCTCCGGCACGGGAACGAGCTTTATTTTCCAGGCGAGGATAACGCCGAAGCTTCCTCCGCCACCGCCGCGAATCGCCCAGAAAACGTCTTCTCCCATCGCCGCGCGATTCAGGATTTTGCCGTCAGCGTTCACGATTCTGGCGTCGAGGACGTTATCGGCTCCGAGACCGAACTTACGCATCATCGAACCGTAAGCTCCGCCGATTATGTGCCCGCCGATTCCTAGGCTGGTGCATAAACCCGCCGGAAAACCATGGATCTTGCTTTTCTCTTGAATCCTTTAAACCGTGAAAAAATAAACCGATTAAGAACCGTATAAGAACCACATGTTAACATTATTCGGTTTCTTTAATAAATTGGTTTCGGTTTTGAAGTTTTGTTATAAAATCAGTTCCTAAACTCTAGTCCTAACCCAAAGACCACATATTGTTATGAAGATATCCGATATTAAGAACCAAAATGGAATAAACCAGCCCGTTTAACCGAAAATGGGAATATTTCAATGAGCTAATCGAAATTTATATTTGATTAACCGCGTTATCTGTGGTCTGCTTGGTTCTGTGTGACATAGTTTACCAAAAAAAAAGTCGCGAATTTAAAACTTTTAACTTTTAGTGTGAAAACTCACGACAATCGAGAGTTTTCTTCCATGGCTTTAATTTTTGTTTTAAAAAATAATATTTTTATAAAAGAATTCAGCCAATCAGGTATCCCCAAAGAAACCAAATTTTATGCTTTTGTGAATAAATATCGTTATGAAGACGCAATAGATTAAAAGATTATAACATATGATTCTATCATCAAAAAAGAAAAATGGTATAATCCTTGGCGTAAGAAATTAGTTACCTGTAATAAACCTCTCCAATAGAAGCACCCGCGTGAACCCACGCGGTGTTACTTTCCAAATCAACGTTGATGTGTCTAAGCTTCGACAAATCGACGATCACAAACGCCGTTTCCATCTCGGAGACGTAAGAGAGGCCTTCGTAGTCATGACCACCGCTTCTTAACCGCAAATGTAGCCGCAGTTTCTTGGCGCAAAAAACGGCGGCTTGAACGTGCGTCTCGTAAAGCGGCTCGAAAATGAACTCCGGCTTTGGATTCGAGGGCATCAAGTAACGGAGATTCTGAGCAGACGTTTCTAACGCTAGTTTAAAGGAAGATGCGTTTAGGTCGTTAGTGAAGAACGACGAGTCCATCGGGAACGAAGCGTCGGAGTTGTCGACGAGACACATGACGAAGTCTTGTTGGATTGTGGAAGAAGAAAGTGGAATGGAAGAAAGTGCTAGTAATAGTAGCGTTACGAGAAACGCGTTTGCGTTTGGTATTATCGTAAACACCATTTCTTGTTCTTGTTTGCAGCTATGAGACTTTTTAAGTTTGCTTGAGGAGTTTCATATGTATGTGTTGGGTTTTATATAGGGAGAGGGACGTGGTTTTATACGTCAAGTTGATGTAACAATTACGTCATGCTTCTTTGACTCTTGTATAGTGTATAGTGTTAATCAGTTCTTTACAATATCGGAATCATTAGGGCTAATATTTTATTGTTTAGTAGTTTATAGCCTTTTTGGAATTGGTGTTTATCCTTTTAACATTTCCATCATGATTTTTTTAGTCAGATCGTTTTTGCTCAGACATATGCTGATTTTAGAATTCGTTATTGTGATCATATTTATGCATCTAATAGAATTAGAAAAATTATAAGAAATAACAATGATTTTATTTCTATTTTACAGAATGCATATCTGCGTGAATTAAGATATCTGCGTATGAAATTATTAATGTGTATTATAACGTAACATGCCTTTTCCTGCCTTGTGAAGGGTTCACAGAAAATCATAACTAATTTCTATACTCAGATTATTTTTTTTTTATAATTCTTAGCCCAACAATAAGAGCAGGTTGCTAACCGAATCTGAAACATTCATTATTGATATAAGCAGTTCTACAAAAATTCATTTCCACGATGACAAAAATAATAATATCAAACGAAATTTGTTGATGTATAATTTGTTTTTAAGCTAATGTATAGTTTATGGGGAGAGATATGGTGTTTGAAATATGTTGATGTATAATTTGTTATTATGCTAATTGATTATGACCCAAGTTTACGGAGAGTGATATGGTGTTTGAAAGTAGGTCATAATTTGTGGGTTTTAACTTTGTAGGGAAACATGAATTTCTTCATAATTTCAAAGATACTGACACCACCATCTCCAGTAATTGTGGCTCAAAAGTTGAATCCATTTTCTTCAATTTATTCTTGTATCAATATAATATAATATATTGTATCTCTCCTTTTGACCGTCAAAATTATTAGATATCTACTTTATAACAGATTTGATTCATACATCTTAGAGAGATGTACTAAGTAAGTTACATACGCAAATATCATGTCAACCAGGGACTCTTTGATGATACATTACATAATTTACATTGAGCAAGTTTAATATCTTTACTTTTCTCCAACGAGATTTTCAATCAAAGATATACCGTACATATATGATAATTGTTGTTAATGCTGTATGTGGGTTATTTTGAAACCTTTTGTCAATTAAATATTTTTTTGTCATATTTCATTTAAAATACACACAAAATTATAAGTGGAATTTGACTTTTACAGCCGGCAAGTCTCAAGATAAAATCCATATTAATATCTAAATCTGAAAGAAATACAGATTTTTTGTCATCTAATAGTTTTAATATTTTTACAGTGGCCAAATAGAGTTAACACTAGAAGAACTGCAAAATGGAAGGAATACTTACATAATCCATAGAAATAGTTTTATCAGTCGAAATCTGTATGTTATTGGACCACTATCTCTTGGTTTCTCAAAATAGATATTTGTTAGCTAGTATAAAGTTTTACAAATCCTTAGAACTAGATGATACATAAAAATCGTTGTCAATGACGTTGAGATATGTACTTTTACTCTTTTTTTAAACAACCTTTCATTAACAGAAATTTAAAGTCTTACACAACATGAGAACAGAGGTTCCTCAAGGAAGCCTTTGCGAGACTATTAACAAACATATTTTCCCTTTTATGGATATGCGAAAATGAAATGAAAGCAAATAGAGAAGATAGATATTTTAGATCATGGAGGATTCCGTAGATCTCCATGAGCTGCTCGCCAGAATTGATGGCGTGTTCGAGGTCCTTTGAATCCGATTTCAAACTGAGATTTTGGAAGCCAAGTTCCAAAGTGTAATCCAAGGCAGAGCGGATTGCTAAAGCTTCTGTTGAGCTGACAAACTTTTCTGTAC